TATTTGTGTGTGTGTGTGTGTGTGTGTGTGTGTGTGTGTGTGTGTGTGTGTGTGTGTGTGTGTGTGTGTGTGTGTGTGTGTGTGTGTGTGTGTGTGTGTGTGTGTGTGTGTGAAGACCTCAGTGGAAAAACCAGCACTGTCACGTTTTTTATATATGGAGAAAATCAACTTTTAAAGTTCAAAACATTCTTTAAAATTTCTTTATAGACTACAATTTTTTTATATATATATAGAGTAACTATATTTATATCAGATTATTTATTAAAAAGTAAAGAAAAAATATTTTTTCAATATTTTTTGAGAAATTAAAGTTCATTATCAATAAATGGACTTCACTATCTTTTTCCTTGGAATTTTTTTAATGGTGTAAATACTATTTTTAGCCTCTCTAGGTTCTTCCATATCTAAAAAAGGGCTTCCAATGATCTAAGATACCTCGAAAGATGGTTGACCCTAGTGCACTGCTAGTTTCCTCTTCTTATCTTACTAAAATGTCTATTATTTTAAAAAATGTGTTATTTTTTTAAGATAAAAAAATTTAAAAAAGAAATTTTAGAAATAAATTAATTTGAATAAAAAATATCAAGAAATATAAAAACAATTTTTAAATACATATATCAAAATAACGAAACAAAAAAAGGCACTAAATTATAAAAAAGTCACTAAATTATACTTCAATACTAATTCAACAAGAAGTTGCGTTTTTGTTTGATTTTTTTTTTTTTATAACATAAATAGTTAAAAAAAAATCCCGATCTGACAATATACAAGAGTGTTATTTCATGAGTGTGATACTAATTATAACATTTGTCGACGAAAGAATGATGTAATAAATAAAAAAAGATCTTTTTCAGCAATTTTCATGATCGCGCTCGTCGACGTTATCTCGAGCGCACATAATCACGCTCGATGAAAACATATTTTAATTTTACGAGCGCGATATAACACGGTTGATGATTTTATTCGTCACAAGCCCTGTATATATATATATATATATATATATATATATATATATATATATATATATATATATATATATGTATATATATATATATATATACACAATAATTACTGTTAATTTTGTATATATATACAAAATTAACAGTAATTTTTTTTTTCAAAGAGATGCAAGTGTTTATAAATTAAAAAAAAGATGGTTAAAAAGCATATACAATGAAAACAAACATGAAGATGCTGAACTGTTTATAATTGAACATACGCTTATTTTTTTATAAAGTTAGTTAAGTTATATTAAAAATTTTGTTGAAAAAATTTTATATTTAATTATGAAAAAACAAAAAAATAGCCTAATAATTGCAATGACGCTAAACAATAGTTGCAATGACACCAATGTTATCTTTTATCTTATCTGACTTGAATATTTTCCCTTTCAGGTAAATTAAATATTTATATTTATTAGGTAAAAAAAAGCAATTGTATTTTGTAACAGAAAGTCAGATAGAAAAAAAAAGAGCAAAAAGCTCAGACACATTTGATGCTATTGCTTTTTATATTCAGAAAAATTTACCATTGCATAATAAATCAACAAATGATGTGTATTACTGAATGATGTATTATTTTTTCTTTTAATATACAAATCCTATTTAGTGGTGAAGTTTTTCTTCACACTTACAATGAAAAAATCATCTTTCCTTTGTGAAGAATGTGCAGGACAAAACAAAAATTACTCATTGTTTCGTTTCTTGCATTGGATGGTCCATTTTCAAAAATGTTTTAAATGTAATAAAGTGTCATTTCCTATAAGGTCATTCTTAAATAGAATGCAAATTGTGACATTGCAATGTTAATTTGCAATGTTAATTACTAACGATTGTTAATTAATAATGATGTTAATAACAATGTTAATTAATAACGATGTTAATTAATAATGATACAAAATTGCAATGTTAAACAATTGGCGTCAGGTTCTCAAGAATTGCAGAAAAAAACCTTCACTTTTAAATGTTCTTTTTTTTAACAATCTGGTTATTACTAATACAGGAACACAAGATTCTGCATTAAAAATTTCAGATAATGATTAGAAAAATTGATTCTAATAATTGTTCTGTTTCTTAACATTTTGTGTCAAGATTTGACTTAATAAAAAATAAAAAAATTTATTACTCCATAGCAGGTTAACAAAAAAAAAAATAACTTCTATATAACTTCTAACTGTTCATTATAGGTTGTCAACACCGTTGACAACCTATAATGAACAGTTTAAAAAAAAATTTTTTTTTTTTAAACTGTTCATTATAGGTTAAATAACAGATTTTCCCCTCAACTGTTGTCAACGGTGTTTCCTCTTCTACATTTTCGAAACTGAATGCAGCTAATTCGTCACTCATATCTTCATCAGCACTGTCTATTTCATCATCTTCATCAAAAATTTGATTTGTAATCAATGTTGTTGCTGGTGTCCTATAGTCAACTTGATTATCATCAACTTGAACCACTCGTCTCTTATTCAAATAAATTTCTTTTGCTCGTATTTTAATCAGGATTATTTCTTCCTTTGACCAGCTTCCATGGTTTCCTAATATCATAATGCTATCACTTAGAGTGTCATGATTCATAGATAAACATTGATCTGACAATATGCTAGTTACTGTGCTAAACATTCGCTTCACACTTGAGTTTGATCCGGAAATTGTGAAGATAATCGATATAACTTTTAATAAATTTGGAAACTTAGACTTTTTGTCGCAAGTCTTATATACGCTTCATCCGTTGAAACTTTTAACGAAGACGATATTGACGCTTGTATCTAAGAAGCAGAAGAATATCACAATTACAAAAATACACTGTTTCCTCAATATAATATATTTTATAAACATCGATTTCATTTAGTTTTTTTAAAGGAAAAAACTTTCGAGCTTTTTTAACTATTATTAATTACAAGTTATTTTTTTTTATAAGAAACCAATCAAACGGTTAGTACTAAAAAGTTTCTAATTTTGAGCATACTTTTTTCTAAATCTAGTAGTAAAAGTTTATTAAAAGTTTCTTTAATTTCAAGTTTTTATTCCTAATCAAATTCAATTCAATTTGATTGTGCGTGGAAATTAGATTCTCATTGTAACTGTTGTTCTCCATCGTAGATAATATTAACTTTGAGTAATGTTGATGAGATATTTATGTGAAAAATGAGCAAACTTATAAATAAGTTTCTTATTGAAAAGTTACTTAGTACTAAAAATTTCTTAAAATTTTAAGGCTCCTAGTACTAGTTTCTTATTAAAAAAAACGTGTAATTTTTTCTGACTTTTTTTAATGTTACAGTTGAATGAATAATAAAAAAGAGTTAACAAACTTTAATTAATGCAACGTTAGTTATAAATGTTAGTTTCATCAGTGTCATTAAATAAAGAACTTTGAAAAAAAAAAAGAACGCTGTTGTTCAAAAAATAGTTTGTTCTTAGTTTAATCAAGTTTTTTTAGGTTTAATTTTTTTTCTTTTGTTGACAAACTTTTTTTAGGTTATTGTTTTTTTTATTTTTCTTATAGTTTAGTTTAATTTTTTCAGCACATTTTAAAATAATTAAATATCAACATTTAACATAAACATCATCAAGCATTTGCAAATGTGTAAATGTTTAATAGCCATATCATCAAAACAAAATATGAGGCGCCTCACAGGAAAAGGTAAGAAGTGAAAAAAAGTTAACGAGTGAAAAAAAGTTAACGAGATAATGATCCGTAAAGAAAGTAATCTCTATATATTATTATCTTTGAAATCTTTATTGTTAAGATAATAATTTATTAGTTACCTTTGAGGATTTTGTATTTTGTATTCCATCGTTGACGTAACACATCGCTCATTTGAGGGTTTCTCGCTTTCACACCTTATTGCAGTAAGGTGAGAAGCTGATTCCAAATGTCTTTGAATTGTGTGGATCGACACAAAGTTCATCCCATCAATAAACCGTAAAGCATATTGTCGTATCAAACTTTTACAACCTTGTAATACCGCTTCTCTATTTCTTGTACAAACTTTGCAGTAAATTTCAACAACATATGTAGTTCCGCTGGTATCTTCAGTTCTAAAGCCTATTACCTCTTGAACTTTCCATTTAATAAATGTTGACAACATTACTTTGTTTCCTTTTGGAATGTCATTGATTGCGGACATTCTAAACAACAGAATTGTTTTAAATTTGAGTTAAAATAAATTATAGTTAATAAAAAACTTATACTATAAACAAAAACTAATTTAAAAAATTACTGAATCATTATTATTTATTTTTATTATAAACGATGTATGGAATATTACAAACAATAAATCAAATAAATCTTACTTGATGTTTTCACAAGATTAAAAATATTCTGCAGTTTCAATTTTCTTATAATGGTTTTCTAATTTTTTATTATTTTATTTGTGCATTTTTGTATTTGCATTGAATTTCTACATGCACATTCCATCAATGAAATTAGTGCCTATTAACGACTTCAAACTGCTCATTTGTTAGGTTAGTGCAAAAAAGAACGACGTAGTGCTTTTTTTATTTTATATTATATTAGTGCTTCGATAATATAAAATCTTTATTAAAAAATCTTTTTTTCATATTTTATGAAAATAAAAAAAAAGTTATTATTTGTTTTGCCCCGAACTCTTGGACGAGCGTTATTTTATACGCTCGTTATAAGCTGAACGAGCGTTGTTTATCGCGCCTGGAACGTTTCAAAATACCATTTACGGGCGCGTTTCACGAGCGGAGCGCGATTGCGCTCGATTCATCACAAGCCCTGTATATATATATATATATATATATATATATATATATATATATATATATATATATATATATATATATACACGGGCAATTCCACGCAAGTGACAGTTGTAACATTTGACACTCTTTTAGCTATTAAAAGTCAAATAAGAATGATATTGATTTGAAATTTTCCAGAAATGTTAAATACTATTATAAAATTTAGTATACAAAATTTAAAGTATTCAAATCTTCAACTTATTTGAAAAATCCTCTCAACGTAGCATGATGGTCGTAACTTTTTGACAATTCTAAACAAATCGTAAATAAACACTACATATTAAACTTGCTATATGCCAAGTTTCATAGTTTTTGCTTGATGCTTTATAAAAATTTTATTATGTTTTTTGTCATGACGGTCGTAACCGTGACAGTCGTAACAAAAATGCCAATAGTGAAAAACAACTGAATGCATGGCGCATTTATTGAATTCATTGCATAGCGCAATGAATGGCGTAAAAAAGATGATAGATTATAAAAACCAAGTAAGTTATGTTAAAATATGCACTTTATAACATTATCGCTGGGATCATATTACATTTATACTGGGTATAATGATCCGGGTATGATGATGACTGGGTATGATAATGATGACTGGGTATGATCATATTACTTTTATTTGTATTAAGCAACAAATGCTTAATGCCTTTTTATTTTCCTGCTTGAAACATGATTAAATAAATAATTATATTAGACAAGTAAATTTCTTTAACTAAGTATATTCATTTTAAAAAAACACATTTAAAATATTGGAAAATTTTAAAACTAAAAATTTTCCTTTTTTTTATTTGCCAGAAATGCATTTTGGTAATATTTTTAACGGCTTTTGCTTCTTCTATTTCGTTGGCTATTAAGGCCCACTTTAGATTAATATTGTCAGTGTTGATAAGCCTAACATAAGTTTTGCACCCATTTGATGCTAAGAGGAAGTCTTTAGCGTTTAAGACGACAAATTTCCGAGATTTTACGCTATTCCAAACATATCGCTTCAAGGATCCTCCTACTTCATCAACTGCTCCTTTACCATGAGAGGTAGCAAAGAAATTCCATTCTATACTCTGAAAATTATATTTGACAGTAAAATGTTGTATGAATTTGGCCATATATCTATTTTTGAGTTGAGTGCAAGGACCATCACTCCATAATATAACTTTTTTTTATATATAATTTATGCAATAGAGGTCAAATATTTCACTTAAGTATGCAGTAGTGGCACGTTTTGTTATATCATTATTGTCGGATATTAGTACAACTGATTTTGGCTCTAATTGGTAACGGTAGATTACAACTGTAGACAAGGTATTAGTCGACTGTGACCAATAAGCAGCTTGAACAGCATCCTGATAACCACATGTATAGTTTTGTGAATAATCGAAGTGTACCAAAATTTGGTCTGGTTTGAAGTTTTTTATTTGACTGCGGTATTGCTCAGAATGGTGCTTTTTAGTGAGATGATGCTCGGTAAACTCTGGTAAATAGTCGTGGAAATGTTTAAAAACATCTTTTTTTTTAAAGAAACTCTTAATAATTTGCTATCATTACATAATGAACATTTCATAATCCAGCATTTGTACGTAGGGAGCTTGCACAATACATAATTTTCTAACCATTTATTTGAATACAATGGAAAAGGTATTTTACTTGCCAAAGCAGCACACAAATAAGTAAAATTACTGTGATAAACAAAACCACATGTTTCAAATGGCGTGTCTTTGCATGTAAGAATGTATGTAGGCATATAAGAATGTATATAATTAACTACTTATTAGGGCGGATCATTTTCCAACCTTTTCCAGTAAATGCTTAGGCCTATGATTTTTAAATGTTTTGGCTCTTATATAAAAGTAATCCAAAAAAAAATTTAAAAATTTTATTTTTAGGTTTTCAAATTTTGACCTAAATAATCGAGGTTTTGGGTAAATAACGCTATATATGTGGTTTGCCACTAATTTTGACCGGTTACTCCGATTGACTCAAAAACATCTTTTATGGAATCATCGATCCCAAATACTCTTAATTAGACACCTAGATAGTCATTTTAGCTTAAAAACTTATAATTATGAAAGTTTACAAAAATCGTTATTATATATTTTGCTGGAATATCTTGCATAGCTACAATAAGATATTTTGGTTAAACTTAAATTTATTTAGTAGATTGTATGAAAAAACTTATGAAATATCATTCATAAGTTGCTGCATTTGAATTACCACATTTTAAACTGTTGCTTTAGCATCTGAATTTGCTGCATTTTAAATGCTGCATTTGAGTTGACACGTTAAATCTACAATAAATATTGTTTATAAACTATTGATAACTTTGAGTTCTTTATCGATGGCTAAACAAACATGTAAAAATAGTCAAAGTTGCAAACTAAGTGTTATGATTTGTTTTGCAAGTGAGTTTTTAGATTCTGAGTTATTAAGAGATGTTATAAAGTATGATCTGCTTCTAAGATGAGATGAAAATTGCAAAGCAAATGCAAAACTTAAAGATGCAAAAAAGTTTTTCTAAAGTGAAAACACAATGGTTGAAAGCGAATCCTGAAGTTCCTATTGTGATAGACAAAGTGGGTGTTAATAAAATAATAAAAGTATGGAAAAAAGCTACCAATATTATTAACTACAGGTGTAAACCTGAAATTATTTCTAAGTTTAACTCTACTCTGGACAAGCTATTTGATATAGCAAAGTGCAAGAGTGACATTGTTTCTTGTGAAGAGGCAAGTTGTAATTCTTGTAATTTTAAAGCGCATCTTTCTTGTCAATGCAATATAGAAAACAAAATTCCTACAATAGAACTTCAGTTTAAGAAATTTCAAAGAGAAAAATTTTGAACAAAAAGTAGTATGCAAAGTGGGTGCTCTGGATTTAAAGAAACCAATAGACAAGAAAAAAATAATAAAAGAAAGGCCGCTAGAAAAAAGAAGCCACAAATAGAATACCTATCTTTTTCATTCTCAAGAAAATGAAATCAAAGAAACAATTGATAATATTGCAAATACTGACGATGAAGATGTTGTTTCTGACAATAGTTTTAAGTACATTAGTAGACAAGTTTCGAAAAAGACATTGAATATAGAAGAAGTTGCATTAGCATCAATAAGATATGGGGTATCAAATCGAGCAACTGCTGCTATTTCAACATTAGCACTGAAAGCAGCTAAAGAAGCAGGCTTTCTTAAAAAGAAAGTGTTTGACAGTGAAATAGTGACAGATCATAAAAAAATTGAAAGATCTAAATTGAAGGTGATGAAACAATGATGTTGTAAAAGATGGAGTTCAATGTATTTTATTTGATGGAAGAAAGGATGAAACAAAATGTTCTTTGATGGGAAAAGATGGAAAATTTCACCACAGACTTGTTCAAGAAGACCATTATTCGGTTTGTGCAAAACCAGGTGGTTTATATCTGTACCATTTTACAAATGATAAAGAAAACCGATCTGAGTGTAATACCCCAGCAGAGCACATAGCAGAACATATATATAAATGGATTATTGAACACGGAGTAGAATCAACTCTAGTTGCTGTAGGCTGTGATTCTACCAATCTAAATACAGGTAAATGATTGATAATAAATACAGGTAAATATTTGATAATAAATGTCATACATATATTTAAACACAATTATTTTTTAGGTTGGAAAGGAGGTATCATTCATTTTTTAGAAAAAAAACTTAAAACAAAACTTATTTGGATAGTTTGCGCTTTGCACATAAATAAACTACCCTTGAAGCACTTAATGTCAATTATTGACGGTAAAACAACTTCAAATAACAAGTTTTCTGGCAATATTGGTCAACTTGTTCCTATTGCCAATAATCTCATAATTTCCACTGTGATTAATTTATTAGATATTGATGAAGATATTTTAAAAACTTTATCGAGTGATCAAAAATATCTATACCCAACAACAAAGGCTATTAAAAATAAAATAATGCCTGAAAATTTAAAAGAAATTTAAGTTGGTCCCCACAATAACGCACGCTGGTTGAATTCGGCAAGTAGACTTTGCAGAATTTGGTGTTCAGAGCATGGACTAAATAAAAATGATATTGAGAATTTAAAACAACTTGTACAGTTTTGTGTTGGTGTATATTCTGTATTATGGTTTGAAATTAAAGTAAGAAACGTTTATTGTAGTTTGAAAATCATCTATTTATTTTTGAAAAATGTATTATTAATGTTTAGGTAAAACATAAATGGACCAATGGACGATACCATATTATCAAACAGCTGGAACTTATCCTAAAAATGAACTTAAATATTTAACAAGCAGTTTTGTCCTATGTTTGCTCCTCTGCCTGGAATGCTCACAGTGAATTTATTCTACAAGCACTACTATGCAGCAAAGATAAAAAGGAGAGGAAGTTTGCAGTGAATAAAAAACTTTCAATAAGGAGTTTAAGCTCCCTAGGAATTACTGCTGTTAGACCAAGAAATATCCCAAATATTAATACTAATGCTGAAACTAATATCGAATTGATTGATTGGAGTAATGATATTTACGAACCTTTGCTCACATGCAAGATTGATAAAGAAAAACTTATTAAGTTTTTAGAAGTCCCAATGGAAGTTCTAGAATTTCTTGTACATGGGCAATCCATAGAAAAAATTGTGAAAGAAGTTACAAGAGCTTCTAGTATAGTTTACGGACAGGAAAGACGAGGCGGGTTTATAAAGGCAACAATAACTCACAGAGAACTTCTTCCTGTTTTAGAATCTAAGCAGAATTTGCTTAAGCTTTTTTAAGCAATAAGTTTATATTTAATGTATATTTAGTATAATTAAGTTTATTCTTGCATTGTGAGTGATAAATTAGTAAATACTGCTATAAACAATAATTAATGATTTTTCATGTTTCTAATTGGATGCGCCTCGCGTTGTGGTTGAGAAATCTTTTAATGCTGCATTACATTCACATAACATTGTTATGGAAGATATTACAGCAAAATATATATATAAAAAAACGATTTTTGTAAACTTTTATAATTATAAGTTTTTAAGCTAAAATGATCTAGGTGTCTAATTATCTAAGTATTTGGGATCAAGGGTTCCATAAAAGATTTTTTTGAGTCAATCGGAGCAACCGGTCAAAAGTTGTGGCAAACCACATATATAGTGTTTTTTCCCAAAACCTTGATTTTTTAGGTCAAAATTTGAAAACCTAAAAATAAATTTTTTTTTGGATTACTTTTATATAGGGGCAAAACATTTAAAAATCATAT